GTGTGCTCTTCCGATCATTGTTCAAGAGATATTTGAGGTGATTGATTAAAATGGGACACCTTGTATAGAAATACTTCAATTATATATTAAAATATTGAAAGTACGACAGCAACTAGAATTATATTTCTAATTACGCGTAATGCTTTACAAATGTCTATTTATAGCACAACGAATGAAAGAAATGCAATAAACAACGAATGGTTATTAAATGGACCAAATGGAAGCAAGACTCCTGTTTTACGCTTCAAGTAAGTTGGTATAAGAATTTATCTATCATTTATTTTTATTTTTAAAACACATAGAAATGTTTGAACAATTATATTTGATTTGTTCCTTAGATGTTCCGCTTTAGCTACGCCACCAAAAGATCCACCTGCGAAGCAGCTACATATGACCTACAAGATCTTTCAAACTGATACTAGACTCATCAATCTTCTGCTGCAATCACATGGCTTAATGGAGGTAAAGTTTTAGTAATAGATCGGATTATAAATTTTCAAAGTTAACTTTTAATTTAACTTAAATTAATTTAATCTTACAATTAACACAACTTTTAACTGAGTTAGTTTTTTGTTTATGCAATTTTTAACTTAACTAAATTAATGAGTATCAGGAAAGACAGTGGAAAGTTAACTAGCAAATGAAATCTTAAAACGCTAACACGGTACAAAGCGGATCTTGGTGCTTCCATATAATATTAAATATTATATGAAAGCACCAAGATTTACTTTGTATCGTTGGCGTTTTAAGATCTTATTTGTTAGTTAACTGAGTCAATTTTATAAATCAACTTTAACTTAATTTAGTTAAAAGAAATATTAATTTACCCAAAACCTGCCGATATGATGAAGCAAAATTATGTTGCTTGTTTGCCTGGAAACAATGCCTGAAATCGCTCGGAATAAGTATGAGAGAAATAGGAATTACAAGCGAAACGAATGCGAAAATAATCTGAAATAATACGTTTATTTCTGATATTTACAGAAAGTGCGCAACGTGAGAAAGGGTATAATGGTAATAAAGAAATAAAAAATAAAACAAAGCAATTAATTTTGTTTATTTTTACATGAACATTAATTTTTTAATTGAGAAACATTCGTCCCTCAATTCTTTGTTTTAACTTTGTAAAAATCGCTATATCTTTGCTTTCAGGTTCCTATGAATGAGACAGATTTTAACGTACTGTGGATGGGAAGTCATCCAAAGCCGGATATCTTGCGGAACTTGATGCCTTATCAAAAAGTAAACCATTTTCCTAGGTAAGAACGCATTATTAAGAAACAGTTTCCGTAATCGTTATTGGTAATACTTTACAAATATAAAAAATCGTGAAACACTGTCAACGAAACAAATTTTACGATTTACAAGTTAAATTCTTCATTTATTATTAATTTTTATATTTATTTGAATCTTTATAGGACATAATAAATATTAAATTCGAATGGCTATTAGCTTGATAATAATTCTTTTTAAAAATCTATTCCTTAGGTCTTATGAAATTACCCGTAAGGATCGCCTTTACAAAAATATTGAAGCTATGCAGAGGAGTAAGGGCCTTCGAAATCTCGATTTTATACCCCAGACATTTCTATTGCCTACTGAAACCAGAGACTTGATTTCGGCGCATTTCAGATATAGAGGACCATGGATCGTCAAGCCTAAAGCCAGTTCGCGAGGCCGTGGCATTTACATTGTTAATAATGTAAGGACTTCAGTATTTTTATAAAGTTTTTACTCTTTGCAGTTTTGAGGGGTAACATCAGAAAGTTATTTAAACTGTTAAATAAAAGCAATTTTACAAGATATTGATAGAGTTAATAGAGACTACTTGTAACAGAGTTATTTATGTTTCTGAGAATACCAACAACATCAATTTTGCAATTATTTAAAATATAAATATTCTTTTCCTTTCTAAAAAAAAAAAGGCATCGATAATCGCATGAGTCAAAAATATTATTGTTTTTAAAATTATAGTAAAATTATATTTTGCTTTTTGCAGATTACAGTAAAAGGTGTTAAATAGCGCTCGCAAAGCGCGCGCCTGTAATGCTAGATTAGTTATTATATGTGTAATGATAAAATATTTATTATATATCAAGGTGAAGCGATTTCTTACCCCCTGTTGTGCATGTATTTTCAGAAAAGGCATAAAAAATGATGAATTTAGGTGACAAACGGAAATTTTTTAATGAATATCTACTCCTAAAAAATAAAAAACATCGTTTTTTTCATTTTTATTTTATTTCAATTAATCATCGGTTTATTATGGTACATAACAATTGTCTCATAAAAATAATTTATTATTGGAAATCTTTTTTTGTTTTAGTTCTTAGCCTTTTAAGTCATAGTAAATGCCATTCCTTCGCGTTTGCTTTGGGGACACGCGATGTGCTATCTCGGTGACAATTTTAATGTGACGCTCCGTTGCTTGTATTTCCATATCTTTAATTGCAGCATCTGCGAACATATATCCTCGGATTTCATTGTCTGACATTGCGAAAAAGCAGGTTCGGTCAAATTTACGTTTTCACCGTACGGTCACCGTATAAATTTCGATTGCACCGACTATATAGACATAATCGACTGGGAAAACGTAAATTTGATCGAATTTGCTTTTTCGCGATCAATGTCAGACGATGAAATCCGAGGATACATGTTCGCAGATGCTGCAATTAAAGATTTGGAAATACCCTGTCATATACAAGCAACGGAGCGTTACATTAAAATTGTCACCGAGATAGCACATTGTGTGTCCCCCAAGCAAACGCGAAGGAATGGTATTTACTATGACTTAAAAGGCCAAGAACTGAAACAAAAAAGATTTCCAAGAATAAATTATTTTTATAAAACAATTGTTGTATATGTAATGTACTATAATAAACCGACGATTAATTGAAATAAAATAAAAATGAAAAAAGATGTTTTTTATTTTTTAGGAGAGGTAGATATTTATTAAAAATTTTCGCTTGTAACCAAAATTCATCATTTTTTATGCCTTTTCCGAAAATACATGCACAACAGGGGATAAGAAATCGCTCCACCTTATTATATACATTAATATTTTATTTATAATATTTGATATATTCTTTATATAAATATATAAAATTGCACAGTCAAGTAAATTGATATTTTAAATTAAAATATTTTACAGGAATATAAATGACTATCCAGATGTACATAATATGTATAAATACTTCTTAGCTTCTATCTCTCGTCTTCCTTGCAAGATTATTAATTACATCATATTTATAATAAATGATTTGTACTAATCTTATCACTTATAATGTAGTTACGTATCTAATATAATTGAGTATTATATAATTAATTTTTTTAGGCATCAATATTACATTATTTAACAAAGTAGCAGTAATAGGACAAATGAGAGCCATGAGAGCAGTGCTAATTACATTACGTTATATTTAATATAAATTTTTAAACACTAGCATTACAAACGCGTGCTTCGCGCGCGCTATTTAATATTTTTATTATATTTGCCATTACACTATTGGCCTTATTACATACAAAGTCAAAATGTAATGACAGCCGCTTACACAAAGTAAGCGCAGTGAGATAACCAATCGGCATTGCAAAAAAGCGACAACAATAAACTTCGAGAAATGCGAATAATCGATTTCATATGCACTTTTTTTTAGATAGGAGAAGACGTTGCAGAAAGTGTTTTTTACATAAAACATTTTTTCTTTAAATTAAATGTTTTCTCTTATTTTTTATTCTTACTTCCTTAATTCTTTGTAATACATGAGTTGAGCAAGGTAACGCAATTTTGTGATGTAATGACATTTTAAAAGATTAAATAACTATTAAAGTACCGCTTGGGTTGGAATACAAACAGTTGAATTAGTACAAAGATTACATATTACTTGGATTGAGTAAAGTAATACATTTGCGAAAAATTAAAACTACTATCACTTGGGTTGGAATAGAAAAACCCTTCAATGAGAATACAAAGATACATACCATTTAAATTGTATTTTTTTAAATCTTTATTTTTGTAAGATTTTTTTATAAGATTGTAATTTGGCGCAAACAGTTATTGATATCAAATCTTTTATGCAAATAATATACATTATTTGTAAAAAAGTAATATATATTACTTTTTTTACAAAGATACGTATCACTTAGGTTCTATTTTTTTTTAATCTTTACTATATTTATTTTGTTTTTTCGAAATTTGATTAACCTACAGTATGCTTATAGATAAATATAGGTCTAGATAAATTCTGTTTTAATGCTTGGGCTACATTAAGCTGTACTACTTGAATATTAAATTCAGCTTAAAACTGATGACTCTACGTAATACTACTGTTCAATTATCCAATTTCTTACTACATTGTTATAGCCTGAGAAGATCCTGACAGATGAATCGGTTATTGTGGCACAGTACATAAATAATCCGCTTTTAATCGACGGACACAAATGTGATTTACGTCTCTATGTAGCTGTAACGAATTACGATCCCTTGCTAATTTATTTATACGAGGAAGGTTTAGTCAGATTTGCAGCTGTTAAATATGACGGCAGAAGTCAATATATTTGGAATCCTTGCATGCATCTTTGCAATTATAGCATAAACAAATTCCACGTGGATTATATAAAGTAAGTTATAGCAACTACAGTATTAATATGCTTCTAAAAAAAATTATGGCATAGAAAAATTTTGGGCAAAAATTGGTAAACTTTGGTTGACGATAACTCCGCGAAAAATCATCGTCAGATGAATATTTTTTAAAATTAAAGCTTGAAATCTCTACTTTAAGGTACTATGAGTCGATTTTCAATTTAATGCACCTTTGCTACTGTAAACTTTTAAATCTGAGAGCATGTTTGCAATACTGAAAATTGTAAAGTTTAACGGAATGCACGTGCTAAAATTTTTCTTGGGGATGCCGTTTGTAGTGTCATAAAGCTCAAATTTTTTTCTTTAATTTGAAAAAAATACAAGTCGCTACGATTTTTTTTCACAATGCTACAGCATTTTTAAGTGATACTTGTATTTTTTTCATGTACGATCGGCATTAGCTGATGTGCACCATAGGGAGGTTGGCGATCGGGTTTTGCATATTGTGTATGTGCGCGCGTGTGCAAAACACACGCACATACACACACTATATGCAAAATCTGATCGCCAACCACTGATTGGTAGACAGTGTTTTGAAAAGCTCTCGAGATAAACTACAAAAATATGCAATGAAAATTAAGAGATTTACATTTACAAAACTTAAAATGACCTTTCCCTGATCTTGACAACGCCACCCAAGGTCAAACCAATAATACCATTTTATGTCTCCCTTGAAATCATACAACTTTTGTTTGAAGCATATTTTTTATCTATTATAGTTTGCGAGAAATCTTAATAGATCTTTTAAAATGAGACACCTTGTATATGTATACATATTATATGTGTAAATGTATACCTACAGGATGTTTATAAAGTCTCACCCAAACCTAATATCTCGGAAACGGCTTTAGATATGGAAAGATGTTTTAAACAAAAGTTGTTTGACTTCAAGGGGGACATAAAATGGTACCATTGGTTTGACCTTTGGTGGCGCTGTTATGGTCAGGGAAAGGTTAAGGTCACTTTAAATTTTTTTAATGGAGCCCGCTATTTTTTATTGCATATTCTTGTAGCTTATGTCGAGAGCTTGCCAAAACACATAGATAAAATATTTTTTTATTAAGTAAATCTTGAGTTATAAAGCTTGAAAGTTACAGTACCACCGACATTAGCATTATCCAAGGTCCGAACACTGGCTAAAACCTTTTGAATGTCTTTCAGGATTATGAGCTTGACAACATGTCAAGGTCATAATTATTGGAGGTTGTTTCTCTTTTTTTCAAAAAATAAAAATAATTTTTAAAAATGAATAAGAGAAACAATCTTCAATGATCATAGCCTTGACACATGTTATCAAGATCATGATTCTGACATATGATATATTCAACATATATAACAACATTCAAAAGGTTTCAGCCATTGTTTGGACACTTTAGATAATGCTAATGTCGGTGGTACTGTAACTTTTAAGCATTATAACTCAAGATTTACTTAACCAAAATACATTTTATCTATGTGTTTTAGAAAGTTCTCAAAATAAGCTACAAGAATATGCAATGAAAAATAGGGGAGTTCATTTAAAAAATTCAAAGTGTTCTGACCTTGACGACGCCACTCAAACCAATGTTATAATCTTATATCCCCCTCGAAACCCTACAACTTTTATTTGAAACATTTTTCTCTCAA